CACAAGGTCTCCCTGCTTCTCAGGCTCTTCTGCATGGGTGCAGGGAGCTCCCTCCTTGGCCCACCCCACCCCTTGGGTTTGCTGCTGTTTTATGTGTTCCTCAAGAGCAGCCTCTTAAACCTGAGCAGCTCAGCATGAGCTGTTTCCACCCTCCTCTGGGATGTCACAGATATCTGTGGCATGACTCTGAGTCAAACTGTGTCACTCAGCTATTCCAGAGCACACACAAAGCTCATCTAGGCCTTTACAGAAAAGATCCACAATTCCCTTAGTGCCTGTATAGATTTTTCCACAGTGTGGTATTTGGCTGCTTAGTCACAGAGTTATCTTTGTGTTTTAAGAATAGACTTGTCTGCCATCTCCTTGGCTGTACAGCAAAAGAAAGACTTTATTTGTCTTAGCACAAACACCTTGTATAAGTGTCAGATGTGCCAGCAAGTATGTGCTTAATTAAACAGGCTCCTTAATAGGTTTTGTTATCATTTTAGAGCTCTGCACTTGAGCCACTTCTCTTAAAGGACTGTTTAATGAATTTCTGAGGCTATCTGACAAGTAATGTTCTTTGCGTGCTTGTTATGCAAAATTCATTAATGTCTCCCTTTGCATGGTGTATACTGAATCACATATATTATGACTTAATTAGCTTACTGCAATTTATGGGGTGGTGGATGTAGGTTTTTTATTTAGTGATCTTATGCAGAACTAACCTGTTTAAAACAAGCAAACAAATAGAAGCTCAAGTTGTTTTGGTGTCTCTGCTGACAAATGGCTCCCCTTGACCCTCATTGTCTAGGGACTTTTCCACTTTTTCATAGCTTGCTAACCCCATCTTTTTTTTTTTGTTTTTTTTTTTTTTTTTTGTTTTTTTTTTGTTTGGTTTTTTTTTTTTTTTTTTTTTTTGTTTGGCCATAGAAAGGGAGAAAACATGCTAGAAGTAAGCAGAGCTTTAGATTTAAGGGATTGGCAGGACCCAACCAACCTCATTGCTCTGAGCACACAACTTTCCATGTATATTTTCTTCTTACAAGCAAGTCTCTAGTACACATTTCCTTTGAGCCTCACAGAAATGTTTTGGGGTAATTCCTTAAGTGGCATACTTGGACGTGCTTCCCTCACCAGTTCTGAGAAAGGGACAAGAGTTATTTTTCCTCTGCTTCCTTGGGAGTTGAAATTATTCACACTAGTAGACAGAATTGCCACTTGTGGGCAGGCACACAAATCCACAGCAAGGTTGTGTGTCTCTGAAATGCCTGTGCTAGCAGCATGAAGGAGAATCAGTGTGTGACAGTTATAGGCCAGAAAGGGCACGATGTCCCTGGAAAGACCCTCCTAGTTCAGGTAGCTCTAGATAACCATCAAACTGAAGTATCACATTCCACTTGTACCTTCTGTTGATGTATTTATTTTCCTGTGTCTTTACAACAACCTGGTGTGAAGTTACCATCCAACTAGGCTATCCACATTTACTTTCCTAATCAACAGTTCTGCTGGATGGGAAAAATGTGCAGTAGGTCAGAAATGAGTGGGATGGTTTCTGCAGGATGACACTGGATGGGAGGGGTGTTGTGGTGCCTGCTCCCTTGCAATGCCACAGGCTGGTTTGCACTGGGATGGGGACTGTCTCCTCCATGAATAATGTAGTTATGCTCCTGTCTTGCTGGGCTGAGACTGCACAGAGGCAAAATAATAATAACTGCTTGCCCAGAGCATACAAGAAATCCGTGGCAGAGAAACAGGATTTTGCCAGAGATCACAATGGCAGAAATATCCTTTTTTCCATCTGTGGTGATTTTCAGATTGCTTCGTGCTCCCTTTCTGAGTTTTACCCTCATTATAACTTGGGAAAAGTTGAGCTGCTCAGTGGTCTCTCCCCTTCCACTTTCCTTCTCTTCCTACAGCTGCCTCATTGCTATTTTTGGCTATGCAGGGCACTGAAGTCCTTAGGAAATCAGCTGCTGGTGGTGAAGGCTGGCCCTGTTTGGAAACTGTAGCCACAAAAGCCAGAATTTCCAGTGTAATAAGGCCATTAAACCTTCTGTGGGAATTTTTAAGGCTGGCTTTATCTGCCCTGCAGAGAGGAGTGTGGGGAGAGGCTGTTTCATGTTTGTTCCTCCTGGTGATGACACAGACTGGAATTGCTTCCCCTTGAACACTGCCTCCATTGGGGTGAAGCCTGGCTTTGTGTTGTCCTAATCCCTCAGTCCAGACCACAGTGACCACATGAAGTTAGAGTAGCCCTGAGGCTGTTCCCTTGTTCTAACACGTGCCACCAGCAAATTACTCAAAAAGATAAAATCTTTGACTAGACTCTGACCCAGTGTCTCAAAATGTTGGTCTGTGAGCAGTCCAATTGAATTTGGACTTTACTAACATACACAACTGCTTAGAAAATTCAGAGCCTTGTTTCCTTTCTTTCATACCCTTCGTCCTGTCTTCTGTCGTTACATGTTTCAGCCCATGACTGTAGACTTTGCTGGAAAGAGTCAGTCTCTCTGGGAGTTACAAATGTTCATGCAGTCTCATCCCCATTTTTGGATCAGAGGGATGGATTTGGAGTGTAGAGGAAGTTTTCTCATGATGTAAGATTGTTTCAAGATTTTGATTTTCAGTATTTTCCTCGCAAACTGCAGTGAGTTTTATTGTAATTTTTTGTTTCCTGGTAATTGACAAAAAAATCCAAACTGGTTGGCAGCAGCAGAAAAGGCACATAAGGTACCCAAACCTTCTAAAACAAAAACAGTTCTGGCCTGTTCCAAGATGCCTCCCCCTCCCAAAATGTTAAACTAGGAGATTGCTGAAGCTGTTGTGTTCCCATAGCTGGATTAGACCTCAGTGAATCAGCCCTCTGAGAAATCTCCTTGGGGAATTCCTGGCAGGCTGTACCCCAGGATCCCTTGCTGACTAAGTTGGGAGCTTCCTCAAGTAGTGCTGCTGTGTAGGACAATGGGTCAAACCTTGGTGCTGCAATCCTGGAGCCCAGCTGTGGATCACAGCTAAAAGCCCTGTCCCATCCTACATCCCTTTTGTCCTCCAAATTCCCCAGAATGGGAGGGAGCTGAGCCCTTCCCTGTAGGTGGTGGATCTGGGATGAAAGCACACTCCTGGCTGCACTGAGCCCTAGGCTGCTGCTCTCCCAGGAATGCCACTGAATGCTGGGCTGCCTCAGAGAGTGGGGCACCAGGCAGGAGTGTGGGAGCCAAAATATGTACCTGCAGCCTCCCAGACACTGCAAAGCCTCTTGGCTGTGGGGTGCAGATTGGCCACAAAGCTGCAGAGGACAGATGAGAAGACTGTGGGGTTTGTGTTGCTTAGGAGCTCACCAAAAGCTGTTGGAATAAAGTGGAGAGCAAAATTCATCCCAGGAGGCATTAGACACAAGCAGAGAGATTTTGCTTTTGAGCTTTTAACTTGATTTGCCTCATGTGACATGCCTGCCTTTTCTCTATTTGGAGTTATCTTGTCCTGTTTGTACCTTTTTAGTGCTTTAATAAAACCCAGCCACAGGGCCAGAAGCCTTTGACTTCTGGCTTGGCTGCTTCCAAGAGCAGATGTGGAAATTTCACCTCCCAGTCTGTCTGATTCAACCCAGTCCCAAACAGCTTTTAACTGATGAAGAAAAGGAGACAAACTCTCCAGCCAGGAGAGTTTGCTGCCTGCAGTGCTCAATAATGTGTGTTTATGTGGGGGCTGTTCTGCACATACTAATTTTGAGCTGTACGTTTTCTTCCAGGAAATCTGTATTTGGCTTTATAACTTCCTAGGAATAGTTTGTGCATTGGAAAACCCCCTCCTGCCATATGGGAAGGAGCATTCTCACTTGTACCCTCTAAAATATGCATGAAGTTTTTTTAATGAAATGAACTTCCGATAATTGCAGAAGTTTGGAATTTTCGGAGGCTTTGATGAAATAGGTGTAAATTTGTGACAATTTCTGAGATGCACCTGGCAAAAGAGTGTAGCTGAGTGGGTCTGTCCCTTGTTTGCTCCATGGTCCAAGACACAGAAACCACCAGTGTGGTTTGGTACCAGAGCAGCTGGTGCTGCTCTGGTGGTACAGGGTCCATTATTCACCAGCCAGTGGATACAACTTTTGTGTAGATGGCTCAGGTCAGTTTCCCATGTCCAGAGGCTGCAGCTGGCCCTGCCTTTATCCTTTCACTCTCTGGTTTCCAAGGCCAGTTGTGCTTGGTTGGGCAATGCATGACAAGGGAATGTCCAAGATTATGAACCTGTTCTTTATGTTCATTTAATCAGCTCCCAGCTGCCCTCCCCCAAAACTGACTACTCATCAACCTAGGTGCTCCTCACCCTGATTTTTGGGTATCTTTTTAGTGCAGCAGAGCTAAATTATCTGGATGGAACAAGTGCTGGAGGAGAAACAGGACTTCAACAGAAATCACTTTTTTCAGCTTCCCAGCGGTTACAGCTCCTTGAATAGAGACTCTTACCTCCTCAGCAAACAGTTTACACTGGCATATCCTGCTGTTTGCAAGGAATGAGACTTGACAGAGGCCCCATGTGTAAAGCAGGCTTGAGTAAAAATGCTGTCAGTGTCACAAATCCCTGCCCCTTCTGAGGCTCTGTTGTTCCTACAAAACTGTTTGGACGTTGATTGTGCAGTATTTTGGTGTCCCTTGTGCGTATGAGGGTCAAAGTAAAGCAGTTAAATGACATTTTGCATCTCAGAACTGAAATCACCTTTTCCTTCAGGATGCTTCAGGTGTAAATTTGCTAAAAAAGCCCAACCAACTCAATGACTTGCCCAAAATTCCTGCCAGGAAGATTTGTAGGTACAGATTTTGTGGTAATTGGGAGTGGGGCTGGCCTGGCCTCATCCCCAATGGACTGCAGCTGTGAGCAGCAGGTGAGCACCATTAAAGGTAACGAGGCTTGGGGTGCCCAGGGGCACTGACCAACCACCAAAGGGAACAGAGGGCACACAGGTGCAGTGCATCAACAGCAGGGGGATAAAAGTTTGGGCTGATAAAGGGCAGAGCGCTGTAGCCTCCTGAAGTGGGGAGATGTTCCTCTGTATGGGCAGATGCCTGAAGCCTTCAGAAGAGGTATGGTGTTACTGTATGGGTTGGAGCTTTCTGAAATGGTGTGATGATGCTCTGTGTATCCTGGCCATCTCAACTACAGTGTATGCTGTGACTGAATTTGAGCAGGAAGAGAGGGGAAGTTTGGATAAATCCTTTGTAGAATTCATAAACATTCATTTTGTCACAAACAGTTTCCTTTTAACTTCCTTTCCTGAGCAGGTGGGAGGAAAACATGGCCCAGCAGTTACAAAAGGGGCTAAGAATGAGCAGAAATAAATCCTCTCTTCAGCTGCCCTGTGCTGGCCAGTACCACCTCCACAAACAGTGGTGTCCATCCAGTGCAGGAGCAGCTCAGTGTCAGCCCAGCCTGGTGTTTCTCCAGGTGCTGGGGACTTTTGAGTGGCATCACAAATTGAGTGTTTCCAGGAAAGAGAGAGTATCTGTGTAAACATTCTGAATAAACAGGCATTCTCTCTGTCCAGCCCCATCCTGTCAAGCATAAGGTGCAGATGCAGGTGCCAAGAGCTCTTCCAAATTAATTCTTTCCCTTCTTGCTGCCTCTCTCTGTTTTACCTGTGGTGTGAAAGCAAACCGAGGCCAACAGCCTTGGCCAGGGCCAGACTGGCCCAGTGCTGTGGACCTGTACCCAGCTCTGCCTCTTGATGGACTTGCTGGAATTGGGAAAAGGATTGCTGTTACCTTTGCTGAGGCAGAAACACCATCCTATCCAGCTAGCTGGGTTGTAGGGGAGAGGGATGTGAAGAACCAGCTCTTGCTCATACTGGTAATCTGTAGATCTTGGGAAATAAAAGTACATAAGGAAGAGCTGGCACTGAATAACTCTTGTGCCCTTCTTTAAGGTGGCTACTAAAGGCTCAGGAGTGGTAGAAAAACACCAGCATGTGACAGAGAAGGTGTACAATAGGGTCAGCAACTGCTGGTAGAAACATAGGTTTTGGAAATTGAGTTCTGGCTATCCTTTGTCTTAGAAAAGCTTAGTGCTTTTTTTCTCTAAATCCAACCTGCAGTCTAGATTTAGGGCATTGTTTTCTGTGCTGCTTAAAAACTTACACTGTTAGAAGCATTCAAGAAACTGAAACTAAGGCTGTAGGTAAATGTTTGCCGTATATTTTTCAGTTGAAAAATGCTTAAGCAGCTCTTGCTTCAGTGGAAAACCCACAAAGCTGTTTGATAGTTTCTACTATGTATCTATTACAAGAAGGCTTTGATTCTTTCCCCCTGGATTGCTCTGGAGCTTCCTGAGGACTTGTGTAGGAACATGGGCAATATTATTTCTGCAGGGACTATGTGAGCAGAAGAAAACTCAGTCTCTAAAGTGGGATGAAAGATCGATGTGTTTTCACAGTTTGGACTTAGATTTGGGAATTGGACCTCTCTTGAAGGAGGACCTAGAAACTTGGAAAAGCCCTAAGATTGATGTTTTGAGTCATAGAAGAATTGTGATTTTTCTGCAAGAGCCTAGCACACCCATCCTGTACCAGATGCAGCAGTTGTTTGCTCAGTAATGTGAACCACAGAGTGGTGATGATATAACCTGTGCACTTGGTTCTGCACCTGGTTTTTGGGGGGGCTTGAGACACATATTTAGGATTTTGCTGAAGGAAACAGAAGTGACCTTGGTGTTGTCCATATTCTCCATCTCCCATCTGCTGCCCTGGCTCCCATCACTCTGGGTTCCTGCAGTGCTTCTGTTCACTTTCCAGGTTGGAAGAAAACTGTACGTGCTTGTATCCCCCTCAGAGCTGAGGCCACCATGGTGGCACTGTAAGGGAGGGCTGTGTGCCATGGCCCTTTTCAGCTCTCTGGCTGGAGTGCTGTGAGGAGTACAGTGTTTTGTGTGTGACAGAAATCCCTCTGGCATTCTATGTTAGAGCTGGATTTACTGGAAACAGGTCCTTGGTGAAAACCTTCCTTGCATAACCCTTTTCCCACCTACAGGCCGTGGTGACTGGCACAGCCCAAAAGCCTTTGACAACCAGTTTTTCTGTAGATGTGTGGAAGGAGGCTCCAGATCTGGAGAACAAGGCTTAACTCGGGGCTGCTTTAATTGGAGACACTGCTGTGGGTTTGTGTATCAATGAGCAGGTGATGACCTGGTGGGTTCCCTGGCCTGCTCACTCATAATAGCTCTCAGGGCTGTGTTTGTAACAGGATTTTTGGAAGCAGTTTTCACTGCAGTGACAGGTGTAGAGAGCTGAATTTTCAGCCCCAGATCCTGATAGTTTCTGGGAGGGAATGTTGTTTAGCTTCTATTGAAATGTGAAGGTGCTCCTTCAGAACTGCTCTTTTCTAGTACTGTTTTCTAAATGGCATGGACTGGGGAGAGAAAGTGTACGTAGAGAAAAGAATATGGCATTTCTGCCTTTTGATTTAATAGTCCTGTATAATTTTGAGGAAGTCTGTGGCTGTTATTTGGTGCTATTCCTGCTTCCCATGCCAGCCAACACTGGCAGCACAGGTGTATGTCTGCTCTCCTGTTGACTCAGCCCCCAGTAAGTTCCTGGTGAAGGCTTCAGTCTCCTCTCCTTTAATTGATGTGGTTTGCTGTGCTCTGATGGAGATTGTTTATGGACCAGACTATGCCTTTGGCCCCAGCATGTTACTCATGTCTACACAGATGAGCACAGACACACCTGGGCTTGTCTGCCTATGCAAAGATGGAGCTGACTGTGAGCCAGACACCTCTTAGCATGGAGTCAGAGCAGAAGCAGCTGCATGCCAGGCTCTGTGTAACTCTGCTCACAACCTGTGGTAGTGCCTCCTGTAGCTGCAATGAAGTCCTTGCTGTGAGCTTTCCTGTTTTAGGGTCATTTCTCAGTAAATCCCATCCAAGTGTAAGCAGGTGTTTGGGATTTGCAGACTTGTGGGAGAGACCTCTCCTTACTCCTCTGCCTGGTGACGGTGTTTTGGGAGATGAAACAGAGATACAAAATGCAGATAAAACATTGAGACAGGGAGGTATATGCTGACCCCTGTGGATGTGCATATCCAGGCCTGGTTCTGACTTTGATTGACTGGATCTCCTGAGCTGGGGCCAGGGTGTGTTGCCAAGGGCTGACAGGACAGCAGGGGCTAGCTGGTGGCAAAAGGCAAGGAGCAACCCTTTGTGCTGGCAAGGAGATCCCCCAAGGAGCATCGTGCCTCAGAAAATGCCAATTGTCTGAGAACAATTTTGTGGGAAAATGTTGGTTTTGATGAATTTCAGTTGCTGAAAAATATTAGATGAAAATGTTTTGAAAACTGTTTGACCTTTTCTAAATGGCAAAGTTTCAATGTTTTTAGATCCAAATGCTGCTTCATTTTGATAGCTAGCATTAATTGAAGGTTAAAAAAAAAATGTTGGAACTGAAATGGAATTCCTGAAAATGAATAGAAACAAAATGTTCTCTTCCTCTTTTCCTCCCCCAGCATTCTTATTTCTGGAGAAATTGTGAGATTTTTTTGACTTTTTAGTTCCTCTGAGCGGAGATATTTAAAACCTCACAAATTGTTGTGGGAGGGCATCCCATCCGGCTCACTATCCACCTGCTCCAATGCAGTTGCTGGTTATGAAGTGGTTTTTGTTTAATTTCATGATGGAGCTGCAAGCATTTTTCAGGCATTCCAAAGGTAGAGTCTCCAGATCTGCTAAGGGACTGGGGTGCAGCCTGTCCCTGCAGCCCTCATCTGCCCAGCACCCTCTGTTGGCTTCCTGGCAAGTCTTGCATCTCCCCATCTGAAAGGAAAGAGTGAGAGCAGTGTGCTGTGATTTGTGCTGTGGCTGAGTGACAAACACACTGTGTTTGCTAAACTAACACCCTGGGAAAGCATGGAATGATCACTCTAAATGCATCATGGCTAAAAGGAGTCAGTTGTGTGCACAAGTTGGGCTCACGTCAGAACATAGGAATAGAAAGTAAATAGGATTGTGTAGCAGGAGATGCCTTAAAAGCCTCAACAAGAAAATGCTGCTCACAGGTCCAGAGCCACAGAGAGCAGGAATGTCCTCTGGCTGAAGTGGCTGGAGCAAAAGCCTGTGCATTGTGACATCTGCACATCTTACAGCCAGGTGAAGGAACTGGGGTGGAGAAAGCAGGAGGGGCTGTGAGCTTCTTCCTGCCCAGCTCTGCACTGGAGTGAAAGTGCACCTTTCCACCTCCTCCCTTAAATGGAAAGGGTTTATATATGATCTGTCATGTGGGGTGTGATGGCAAACAGGCTGTGCTGTCTCCTCCAGCATCCCAAGCCTGTTGCCATGTCTCTGGCTGATGTGAAGATCATTCATTGCTCCTCTTTTAGCTCTTCTGTCTTTGCCTTGTCCATCAGGTGATGAGTCACATCATCGTGGTGAGTGGTGTTTCTGACTTCCATAAGATGCTGTACTGGCTCTGTGATTGGAGAGCTTTGTTTCTCCTTTGGAGGGGATGTCTGACAGATTTACTGCACCTCTTGGAGTGTCCTCAGTAGGAACAAGAGTTTGCATTTCAGCCATCTTCATATCATGTTGATGACAGCCTGGATTTTGGCCTTGCACAAAAATGATTGAGTTGGGTTTTGCTTTTGAGGGATGTTTGTGAAGTGCAAAGCCCTAGGCTTCAGGAAACTGCTAAAAATTAATGTGTAATATTGGTAAAATGATCCCCTTTACACCAAGGGTGTTCCCAAAGCCCTCCCAGAAGGAAGGGTGGGTAAGTGAAGACTGCAAGCAGTTTAGGGGCTGGTAGGTGGTGAGGTGTAATGTTCCTATAAATAACAAATACTGGCTTCAGGTTCCTGACAATATTGGTTTTATATTGGTCATTGATCTATTTCTGGAACACAGAGTATTTTGAAAATCCTTATCAAGTTGATTTGCCTCAGAAAGGGCTCCTCTAGGGTAGCCAGTAACTGGACCTGAATCCTATCCCTCTTCTCTGAGCCAAGCCCTTTCTTCTTCATTTCCCTGTTGGTGTTGGCAGAAATGCCAAACATGAAGAGGTTGCAATGTAAGCAAACAATTTTTAGGAGACTATTTAAGAACA